ACACACACACACACACACACACACACAAACGATTAGTCATTTGATGGAAATACAAAATATGTGTTACTGTCGGGCTGATAACAATAATAACATTTTTGTTTTATAAAGAACCTCAGGAAATGATTAGTGTGGTGTAACCTTCCAACACCTGCTCTGTCCTCCCCAGGGGCTGCCTTTCCTATCTAATGGTGATGGACAGCGGACAGCCAGTAGCCTGCCCTCATAGTGACTGTGTGTGAATGACCCCTCTGACCCCTACAGACTGACCCACACACTGACCCACACACTGACCCCCACACGCAGACTGATAACTACCTCGTGAGTCGGAGACAGACAGAGAAGTCGAGAGAGAGAGAGAGAGAGAGAGACAGAGAGAGAGAGACAGACAGACAGACAGACAGACAGACAGACAGCAAGACCAGACAGCTGCATCTCCGGACAACTCCCACCATGACCTTTGACCTCCCCCTGCACCCCGTGTTGGTGTGTGGCTGCCTCCTGCTCTCTCTTCTCTCTGCCACGGTGTCAGGTGAGATTTTTACACTCTTTGCTTTTAAAAAAAAATTCCTCTAGAACAATTTCAACAGTGTTATCTTTCCAGTCTCCTTTTGTTGTGTAAGGTTCCAGTTTTTCTGTCTCTCGTCCCTCTCTCTCCCCTTGTCCTTCCCTACAGTGAAAACTCTTACTTCCATAAAAATAGTTAGCATGTGAGGTGGCTGGAAAAGAAGAGGCTCATTTCAATTTCAGATGCCTAGCAATATTTTTCTGTAGAGTTATATGGCACTCTAAGATTTCACAACACTGCCATTTCTATTCCGATATATGGAACATTTCTTCATTTATCTGTAGACAGAGAACAGTTATAGTATTCCTCTTTTTTATGACTCTGTCATGTCAATTCATATATCTAACATTTCTTCATTTTTCTGTAGAGTAGAGAACAGTTAAATGGCTCCTCTAAGATTGAACAACACTGTTATGTCAATTCCTATGTCGAACGTTTCTTTATTTTTTTCTTTAGAGTAGAGAACAGTAATACTCCTCTAAGATTTTATAACATTGTCATGTCAATTCCTGTAGCTAACATTTTTTTCTTTTTTTCTGTATAATAGTGTGTGTAGAAAAGAAAACAGTTATATTACTCCTCTAAGATTTTACAACACTGTTTATGTCTATTCCTGTATCGAACATTTCTTCATTTTTTTTCTGTATAATAGTGTGTGTAGAGTAGAGAACAGCTATATACGATTCCTCTAAGATTTTACAACACTGTCATGTCAGTTCCTGAAATTAACATTTTTTACTTTTTCTGTAGAGTAGAGAACATATGTTATTCCTGAAAGATTTTATAACACTGTCATGGCTATTCCTGTAGCTAATGCTTCTTCTTTTTTCTGTTGAGTAGAGAACAGTAATGATTTCTCTAAGATTTTATAACACTGTCATGTCTATTCCTGAAATTTAAATTGTTCTCCTTTTTCTGTAGAGTAGAGAACATGTAAATGTTACTTCTCTAAGATTTTTTATAACACTGTCATGTCAATTGCTGTTGCTAACAACATTTATTTCTTTTTTCTGTATAATAGTAATAGTGGGTGTAGAATAGAGAACAGTTTCTATTACTCCTCTAAGATTTTACGACACCATTATGTCTATCCGGTATCTAACATTTCTTCATTTTTTCTTTAGAATAGTGTGTGTAGAATAGAGAACAGTTCTATTATTCCTCTAAGATTTTATAACATACACTGTCATGTCAGTTCCTGTTTCTAACGTTTCTTCATTTTCTCCGCAGCAGAGCCAGTGAGTTTCTGCTTGATCGACAAAGGACCGGACGAGCTCGGGAATGTGACCTTGACCTGTCCTCCGGACGAGACCATTGTGTTTGACGAAGCCTTGTTGGGGACCAGCCAATGGGGGAGCTGTTTGATCACCACGGACGACTGCGTGGAGAAGACCAAGATCTTCGACGAGTGCGACGGGCTCAACAACTGCACGCGCTTGTTCAAAACTTTCTCCTCCAAGTGTGAGCGCACCAGCACAGTCCTCATCCTCAGTTACAGCTGTGCGCCATGTGAGTTTGTGTGTGTGTGTGTGTTTGTGTGGGGTTTGTGTGTGTGTGTGTGGGAGTTTGTTTGGGTGTTTGTGTAGGTGTTTGTGTGTGTGTGAGTTTGTGTGGGGGGTTTGTGTGTGTGTGTGTGAGAGTTTGTGTGGGGGGCTGTGTGTGTGT